ACATAAATTTTGCTTTAGTTCTTAAAATTAAATGTATTGAATATAAAGTAAATTGAGCTGGAGCGATAGCACAATGGGTAGGGTGTTTGCCTTGCAATCAGCCAACATTGCTGACCTGAGTTTGATTCCTCCGCCCCTCTCAGAGAGCCTAGCAAGCTACCAAGAGTATCTCGCCCGCAGGGTAAAGCCTGGCAAGCTATCTGTGATGTATTCGATATGCCAAACACAGTAGCAAGTCTCACAATGTTACTGGGCCCGCTCGAGCAAATTGATGAACAAGGGGAGGGCAGTGACAGTGACAAAAAGTAAATTGATATATAATTCTTTCTAGTGCAGTGTTATTTAATTCACATTCACATCAGCATAAAAATTAAGTTAGGAAATTTATTAAAAATGCACATTTTAGGGAGAGATAACAGAAAGGTTAAGGTGCTTGCTAGGAGGATGGCTAGGAGTGATCCATGAGCAATGAACCAGGAGTAATCCCTAAGCACTGTTGGGCGTGGCCCCCTCTGACCAAAAAAACACATTTTGGGGCCTACTACTAACCTAACTAGGTCAAAATTTATGTTATTATTTTCCAGTAATTTAATTTTGCAAAATTGTTGGGTAATATGTAGTTTGTAAGTTATATATAAAACATATCACTGTGTTACTGTATCACTGTTATCCCATTGTCGATTTACTAGAGCAGGCACCAGTAGCTTCTCTATTTGTCCCAGGTCTGAGATTTTAGCAGCCTCTCCTTACTCGTCTTTCCCAACGATTGGAAGCTCTATCAGGCTTGGGGAATGAGACCTGTTATGGTTACTGGTTTTGGCATATCGAATACAGCACAGGGAGCTTGCCACGCTCTGCCTATGCAGGAGGGATACTCTTGGTAGCTTGCCAGGCTCTCCGAGAGGCATATACATATTTCTCTCTATGACTTGTTGCCTACTGTATATAAAACATAAGAATTTTATATGTTTGTAAAATAAATTGACAATTGTCACATGGTGTTCCTTCTTATTTGTTTCCTTTTTTTTTGTTTTGTTTTTGTATTACAACTGGCAGTGTTTGGGCACTACACCCGGTTTAGTGCTCTGAATTTGTCCTTCTAGCTAATTTGCTGGCTTCTCCTTTCATATTCTTATAAAGAGTTAATCTTTAAAATTTTTTTCTTTTGTTTTTTTTGGTCACACCTAGTGGTGCTCAAGGCTTAACTCTGGTTCTGCGCTCAAGAACCATATGGAGAGAAAATTCATCTGGGTCAGCCACATGCAAAGCAAGGAGCTTGCCCACTAAGCTCTCTCTCTCCAGACCCTGAAGAATTAAATATTAATACACTAATTATCTAACTTATTATTAATTTCTAACGTTAAATATTTATCATTGTTTTTAGCTACATAGAAGAAGCAAAGTAGTTGGCTGAGTCTATTGATAATTAACTTTGTAAAATATATCAAACAACTAAAATATAATTTTGTTTTATTAGTGTTTAGTTGAACTCTCTACAGAGAGATCTAAATTTGAAGTCACCTTTCTCATGTATAAAAATAAAGACAGAGGTTATATATTATATCACTCACATAAGATACAAATGGCAATAAAAAATAGTTAAAATTCCTAGACTCTTAGAAATACTGAGTGTGTGCCATTATAGATCTACAATCTATTTTCTTTGGTTCCTAGTTCAACAGGTTAAAAAGTAAACGAGTAAGCTGTTCATTAATACTTGTGAGCAACACCCGACTAGAAATGCTATTAAAACTGTGTGATTGGGGAAGAGGGGAATGACTGACCATGGCAATTATTATTGAATTTAAAAGTCTCTAAGATATATCTTACAGAGTACACTGATATTAATTCAATTTCTCTTTCTGCCCACTAGATAGATTCAGGTGTTCACTCAACCATCCAGTCAATCAATAGATATTAACTGAACATCTAATATAGAGCTGATACAGGTAGGGCAGCAATGCTATAAAGTGTATTAGAATATCTACGTTTTAGCTAACAGGTAATGATTTGATAAACTTCAACTTGTATTACAATAGTAAAGTAAAGTAAAGTAAAGGCCCTCCCGTTGATCCTCGATTTGCTCGAGCGGGCCCAGTAACGTCTCCATTGGAGACTTTGTTGTTACTGTGTCTGGCATATCGAATACTCTCGGTAGCTTGCCGGGCTCTCCGAGAGGGGCGGAGGAATCGAACTCGGGTCGGCCATGTTGGCTGCGTGCAAGGCAGACGCCCTACCCGCTGTGCTATCGCTCCGCACGTATTACAATAATAATTTAAAAAAGAAAGAGTGCCTTCAATAAGACAATAAATTTTCAATTTTATATGCTTTAATAAAAACTGAAAAATGGGTAAAATACAGAAAATTATAACCAGATAATTTTGGTTTTTTAAAAAAATTCCTTTTGTGAATCTTACATTAACTATTGATTGGTAAAGACTGATACTTAGCAAATGATTTTATATACTTTAATCATTAATTTACTGAATTCATAATTTCTTAGTGAAACATCTCTAAGTTTCTGTCATATTCAAGGAGATGGACATGTAATCCAAACCAAAACATGTAGGAAATAAAGGGGGTTAGTGAAAGCTTTTAAGATGACAAGATGAATACTTGCTTCAAAATTTATTGGTTGGAGATGCAGCAATGTAGTTTACTTCTCTTATATGGATTACCTCTGGGTTTGACTCAGGACATTGCAAAAACAGTCACTGATAGGATAGTTTTTGTAAGAACTATCTTCCAAGCAAAGACTAGGACTGAGGAGTACTAGAAAGAACTGCAGACGATCCATCTTTGAAAGAGACAAAAACTCAGCACAACTTCTCACATCTTTTTGTTTGGCCAGAATAAATTTACTTGTTCAGAATATATACCTGGCCAGAATATTTACCTTTGGGCACAGGAAGAATTAGTTTAAACTTCTCAAAACCTTAGATCAAACCAGCTTTTGCCATGTTGGTGTTGTACTGATCCCAGTAATAGCTGGTGAATTTGCTGGTAAAGTAGCCAATCTAGAGATTAAGATCTTGTCCTGGGACTTCAGGATATAATCATATTGGTCTTTTACTTGGTTCCATTTGATGAAATAAACCGTAGGAACCTGACTGAAGTTTTCCCACAAACCAAATCAGATAAGAAGTATCCATGTTGGCCTCACAAACCAAAGAAGATTTTCTAAAGGAGTCCTGGAGAAAGCTCAGGCCGTCAGAAACTCTGGATATTAAACTGTCTGTCTGTCCTCCCATTGTTCATCGATTTGCTGGAGTGGGTCCAGTAACGGCTCCATTTTGAGACTTGTTACTGTGTTTGGCATATTGTTACTGTGTTTGGCATATTGTTACTGTGTTTGGCATATTGAATACAACACTTGTAGCTTGCCAGGCTTTGCCATGCAGGTGAGATACTCTCAGTAGCTTGTCAGGCTCTCTGAGAGGGGTAGAGGAATCCAACCAGCTGGCCGTGCTCGCTGCGCGAGGAAATCGCCCTACCACTGTGCTATTGCTCCAGCCCAGATATTAACATTAAACATAATTATACAGTTAAGGGCTAGAGTGATAGCACAGCAGAAAGGCGTTTACCTTGCACGCAGCCAACCTGCCCCTCTCGAAGAGCCCAGCAAGCTACCGAAAGTAATCTCGCCCACACGGCAGAGCCTGGCAAGCTACCCGAGAGTACTCAATATGCCAAACACAGTGACAACAAGTCTCATGATGGAGACGTTACTGGGCCCGCACGAGCAAAACGATGTACAATGGGAGGATCGTGACCTTGATACAGTTAAAATAGGGCTTAAAAGTAGACTTTTAGAGGTGCGTATGAACATAGAGAATGGATAGATGTTGTCTATTTCAAACTTATAAAATAAATCTATGTTACTTCAATTAAAAAAAAAGAAGCGTAAGACTCTTGTGCTTTTAAGTTACCATTCCAGGGACCCAATATAATATCCTTCACTCTTCACTACATTTCATGGCAAACATTGCCAGTAAGTGCAGTACAGAGAGCAAGGGCTGCTTCAGGCCCTGCTTCCAAATCAGTCCTGTTCACTAGGTCGACTAGGGATCTGTAAAACACATTCCTAAATCTAATTAAATTTCAGTCTCCTCCGGTGCTACACAGCCCTCAGCACTTGAGGAGTTTTGTCCTGCCCAGCCCCCATTGCCACTGCGCCCTCCTCCTCCCTCCTCCTCTCCCCCTCCCCCCCACCTGGTGAGAAACGTGGGACCAAACCTGGCCCATGTGGCTTACGGATGGAGTTCGCAAACAGTATTTACTGTGCACTTTTCTTTACCCACCGTGGCACTAGGACACCTGATCGGTTTAAGGAAGTGCACTTCCTCATTGGAGTGCATTCCCTTTTTGTAATATCTATTTTTTTTTGGTGGGGGGGATACATTTTAAAGGAATTTTGGAATAACTTTTCCTTTGGAACACTTTTTGAAGGAACTTAGATAATTCAGGTGCATTCCCTTGTTGGAGTGCATTCCCTCTTTGGAATACTTTCTTTTTTGGGGAATATTTTTTTTTTTAAAGAATTTTGGAATACTATTTTAAGGAGCTCGGATAATCCAGGTGCATTCCCTCTTTGGAGTGCATTCCCTCTTTTTCCTGGGAATACTTTCTCTTTTCCTGTGCGGGGTGCGAGAAGGGAACGCGTCCCGACCGCCACTGCACACGCACCAGGTTGCAGGGCCCTCTTAGATATATATAAGGCAGGAGCTGACACTTGCACTTGTGGCAACGGCTGGGCCTGCGGGCGCGGGCGGGGAGAAGCCCAAAGCCGGCCAAGGCGGCCCTCCCGGGGGTGCTGGGTCCGGAGCAGAGGCCGCAGGAGCACCGGGAAGCGGGGAGTCCGCCGGCTCGTCCCGCGGGGGCCCCGCAGCGCCCACTTCGGCCGCTTTCCGGCGGGCTGCCCGCGCTCTGAGTCCCGCGTCCCCCGCTGCAGCCCGCAGCCCTGCCGGGCCGAGAAGGCGAGCGGCCGCGCCTGCCGCCCCATGGAACTGCGGCCGCCGGGCGACTCGGGGCCCGCCGAGCCGGGGCCTGGCGTGAGCAGCCGGCGCGGCGCGGCCCCGGCGGCCCCGGCTGCGTCGCCGCCAAGCCAGGCCTGGGCCGAGGCCCGGAGCAGCTGGCCGACCGTGGCGGCCGTGCTGCCGGCGGGGGGCAGCGGGGAGCGGATGGGCGTCCCCACCCCGAAGCAGTTCTGCCCGGTGCTGGAGCGGCCGCTCATCAGCTACACCCTGCAGGCCCTGGAGAGGTAATGCGGCGCCGGCGCGCCCCGCGCTCCCGCCGGGGGCCTCCACCTGCCCGCCCCGACCGCCTCGCGGCTCCCGCCCAGACCACACAGCAGACGCCGCGGGGCTCCGCGGGCGCTTGGCTCCCTGCCCGGCCGCACTGGCGAGCCGGGAAGCTTTGGCCCCGGTAACCATCGGCCACCGATGCACGCTGCTGCCCCGCGGCCTGTACGTGCTGTGCTGTTAATGCGGCGGGAAAGCCCTTGCTGCTGGAGAGGCGCTTGGTTGCAACTCAGGGACACTTGAGTTCTCACTCTGGAACCCTGGGGCTGAGGGGTGGGGGGTAGGGTCTAAATGATTGGAAGATCCTCAGGCCGACTGCACTTCTGCTTTCATGAACCTTTGTTCCTGGGGCTAATGATCCAGATCACAAAAACTTTGAGGCTTCCTATCAGGGCACCCAGCTCATTGATTGCTAGCTGTTGAAATTGGATTGCGGAGTAGAACTCCATCCAAACCTCTCACTGGGGGCACACGGATTTAAGGGTGCTAGGTTCTGCAGTTGAGACCAATCCAGGCTTTGTCTTTTACGAAAAAGGACTGGTCGATTTTGGGGGGAAAGTGAAAGCAGAAGGAATGGAATAAAGTGGGCAAAGAGATGGGCTTATCGCTTTGTTTTGCTTAGGGCCTATCAGTCATGGAGCTTGGGATGAGGCTGACAGGGTAGCTGGGGTACCACAAAAGTCTACCTGTGTCTTGCTAAGGCATTTAAACGTCACCCTGAAGGCCTTGGGAAGCTGTTGAAGTACGTAAAACCTTGTGAGCCCTGTGCATTTCAAGGTAGGCATCCCAGGCTTTATTGAAGAAGACTCTAGAGTCTAATCATAGTACAGTAGAGTGTTATCCAGAAAGGGGAACCCCACTCCCTCCCTCACCATTCTTTACACACCTAGCAATTCAAAGGACCCAAGTTGTTTCACCTATGCCTTTTACTTTCTGAATATTGTCATTTGGAAAATGCCATTACTGGGGCTGGAGAGATAGCATAGCGTGTAGGGCATTTGCCTTGCACGCGGTGGACCTGGGTTGGACGGCCAGGAGTAATTCCTGAGCACAGAGCCAGGAGTAACCTTTTTGCCTCGCTGGGTGTGACCTAAAAAGAAAAAAAAAGAAAGAAAGAAAATGCCATTACCAAGAGCCATAGTCACCATTGATGTTAATAATCAGGCTGATGAATTGCAGTGAATTTATATCTGAAACTCATAAGAACACTGCAAAAATTCCTTGTCCTTTTCCATTTTTTTGCAGTGTTCTGTTTCTCTGGGTAGTTGTGAAGAGAGGATTCTTTGGAACGGTTGTCTGAGTCATTCACCTACATTCTTGCAGTCTTACAGACACTGTTTTCCTAGGTCATGTACACAGCTAATCCTTTGGAGCCAATGGCTCTAGGCCATTTTGATCATGGATCTTTGGCTACTTGTATTTAGAGAACTGTAGCGATAGCACAGCTGATAGGGTGTTTGGCTTGCACACAGCCAACCAGGGTTTGATTCCTCCGTTCCTCTCAGCAAGCTACTGAGAGTATCCCTCCTGCAGGGCAGAGCCTGGCAAGCTCCTCATGGTGGCGTATTAGATATGCCAAAAACAGTAACAAAAAAAATCACAATGGAGACATTACTGGTGCCTGCTCTAGCAAATTGGTGAACAACAGGAGAACAGTGCTACGGTGCAAACTTTTTGGGGGTTGGGGGATGTTCTCAGGGCTTTTTCCTAGCAGTGCTGAGAGGATCACGTGATGACAGAAATGAGTCTGATCTGTCACATGTAAGAAAAGGGCCCAAACTTTTGTATACTCTCTTGACCCACGACTATCTTTTTTATGTCTACCTTGCTTTCTTATGAAGAAAAGTTGGCATTAATTTGTATTTCTGTATCTGAGTTTTCCTTGAGATAGACATATGCTAAAAAAAAAAATTAAAAAAAGGTTTTAAAATGAAGAGATGTTTGGGAAAGCCTTTTTTTTGAGGTAGAAAGCACAACAGTGCTGATTTCTATTTACATAAAATCTTTAATACTTGATCAAAACTTACTTTTTATAATATTAATGATTTAGTTTTGTCTGTCTTAGAATTTCTGAATACCTTATGAAATGTGGTTTATATTTTGATTGTATCTCAGGAAATCTCTGGAAACCTTGTGCTATAGAAATGTGTGTGGTATGGTAGACTTTTCGGTAGTTTAAAGCTACTTTAAAAATGTTATTAATTGGATCACCATGATATACATAGTTACAAAGTTGTTCATGATTGAGATTGAGTCATGCATGTTCCAACACCCATCCCTTCACCAGTGTACATTTCCCATGGCCACCAATATCCCCAGTTTTCCTCCACTCTACTTCTACTTAAAGCCATTTTCTATGGTAAAAGGTAAGTTCATAGATTATTGAGTGTTATCCAGGACATGCTGCTAGAAGACCAACTTTGTTTCATCCTAAAAGATAAATTATACAAATTAGATAAGTAAAGAAAGTAATTTAATGTATCTTATAAAATATTATTTTTTCTGCTGCTTAGAGAAATTATGGGTTGACTATAAAAGGTGAGACAGAGTTCTCAATCTCAGTCATTTAGGTTATATTTAAGAGGATGACAACTTCCTGTTACCATTTATGCGTTATCCAGAATTTAATGTCAACACTCATTTTATTTTCTCCTCATAAGTTATAATTTTCTTCACTTAAATTTTTTCTACCTTATTAATAGCAGATCGATATACTGTGGGTAATCTTTATTTTTTATTGATTCACGATCACGACCATCCTGTTATTCGTCGATTGCCTTGAGCAGGCCCCAGTAACGTCTCCTTCATCCTAGCCCTGAGATTTTTAAGAAAGTGCCATATTCAAGGCTCTTTAGGAGCTCTTTAGGAGCCTTGAATATGGCTTTTTTATTGATTAGATGGGCTGGAGCGATAGCACAGTGGTAGGGCGGTTGCCTTGCACGCAGCCAACAATGGCTGACCCGAGTTCGATTTCTCCGCCCCTCTCGGAGAGCCTGGCAAACTACCGAGAGTATCTCGCCCGCACAGCAGAGCCTGGCAAGCTACCCGTGATGTATTCGATATGCCAAACACAGTAACAACAAAGTCTCCAATGGAGATGTTACTGGGCCCGCTCGAGCAAATCGAGGAACAACGGGAGGACAGTGAACTCTTGATTGATTAGATATTTAAATATAATTGTTCAAATCAACCTTTAAGGATTTATAGCTGTCTTATTTAATTTTTGAATCTATATAAAATGAGCTAATTAGAACCTAGGAAAAAAGAAGTGGCCACACTAATACTAAAATGAAGTAGGTAAATGAAAAGAATATGAGTGGTATTTCAATCAGATGATCTCTCTTAATGGTTTTTATTTCCACTCCCTCATTCACCCACAAGAAAGGATATAAAGAGTATAACTACACATGGGAAATTGAGTGAAAGAAGAGGTGGAACATAGAAGAGAGATAAACAACATTCTGTAAGAAAGGAGTTAGAATAGTGGTAGTCAATCAGATTTAACAATCTCAAAAAAGCTTAAACATAAGCGTTCAGGTTGAACATCTATAAAGAGACAAGTTGATTGAAGTCACATGACCTTAGAAAGGGTCAGGATTTAGCTGTACTGGGTATCTCTGAATGTGTGGTAGAAGAGAGCTACAAGATGACAACTGGTTGGACCTTCAAAAGAAACAGTTTGATTCACTGATCCTTGTCAGAACATTGGAGGCTTATTATCTGGCTCAGAACCAATAGAGCTAATGGCAAAGTGAGGAGCCCCACAACAGTACAGGAATTAAGAGGAAGACTGCCTTTTGAAATGACGAAATTCTTACTTCCAAAGGAAAACTCAGGACTTTTTCACTTCTCAAACAACATTTGACATATATTGAGGCCCCTGTACTTGAGAGAAAGTTATTTTATGAGATTATTAAAATTAACGTTTTTTTTTTCTTTTGGTAAAACTGGATAAATACACACCCGACCCCCCACCACCCCTTGGCTAAACCAAGTTCTATTTGCATACCACTGATTTCTTAGGAAGCTAATTATCAGATTAAGTGAGACAAAAAAAAAATTCAACCTCACAAATCTAACACATGTGATCTGATGCTTCCTTAAAGTCTATCAGAATTGTGTGAAGATTATATTTGTATTAGCCGTTTTCTGTACATCTATATTCATATTTGTACATACAGTTTCTATACTATATTAAAAGTATGCAGCTGATAGTTCAGCTCCATGCATTATAGGTAATCCTAAGAAGATAAAATACAACTAACTTCAATCTCAGTAGGCCTCCCTCCACATCTCAGAGCCTCTGCTTGCTGCTCTACCCTTCCAACACAGAAGAGCACAGCAAACATAATGGGGAAGGTGCAAAAAGCCCACAAGGCTCTGTGAGTGAAAATGATAACATGGAAGGCTCTACCTCTATCTCTGGAAACTCTCAGGGAATAGCTTTAATGACACCATGTTGAAGATATTTCATGAGCTCAAAGAAACAATGGCACAGGTAGTCAGTAATGCACAAGAAACGAGGAGAGTCAAAATGAGAAAACTGCAATTATTAGCTACAGAAATGAAGAGTATCGTAGGTGATATAAAAACACAATAGAAGGACTCAGCAATAGAATAATAGTAGCTGAGGAAAATATTGATAAGGTCCAAGATCAGATGTAGGAAACTTCTAGAAAACAGCAGAAAATAAAAATAAAAGACTGAAAAAAAATGAATAACTCACCAGAGAACAAGGAAATGGGTTCAAGAGGAACAATAATAAGATTCACTGGAGTCCCTAAAGAATGGGAAGTCAGGTTTGATGGAGAACATCTAGTCAAAGAAATTATAAATAAGAATTTCCTAGAGTTACAGAGTGCAGACACCAAGGTTCAAGAGGCCTTGAAAGTTCCCAGTGAAAATAGACCCAAATAGTGAAACTCTAAGACACAGTATAATTAGAATAACAAAAGATAAA